TTCTTGCTAGTGCAAGCCCTCTTCTCTCTTCTAATTTTGTCACTAGGGCCATATCTCATGACGGTAAGTTGACGTGCCAGACATAACGTGTTGCGGCGTCGATGAAGGTGATGACGTAGTTCAGATCTTCACGGCCTTCGGTTCGAGGTATGTATAAGATGTCGCTGTAGACTTTCTCGAGTGGTTGATAAACGGGGGCGCTCGGGTTGTGATGTGACGGGAACGGTTGGTGAGGCAAGTCCGCTTCCGGACAGATGAAGCAAGTGCCGCGTGGTCGTTCGAGTTCGAGTCCGTTGGGGAGAAGTAGAGCGTTCTTGTCTAACACTCCGACTCGTATTGTGTTATAGAGTGTCTTGTTTCCAGGATGTCCAAGGCGTTGATGCCAGATGTCTTCGGAGGCGCTGTGACCGACGGAGCATTGATGTTGCTGCACTTCGATGAACGGCGCGTGGTGCTGGCGTTAACTGTTGGGCGGCTGTCGGTGGCGTGTCGATGATGAGAGGTGGTGGTGGCACGACGGAGGGACCGGGCTGTGGGGTTTCGGAAAGTGGTTCCGCGGCGACGGTTGGTTCTTCAACTGCAGGTTCGGTGATTGTTGGTGCTGTGTCGGGTGTTGTTGTTGTTGCGATGACGGGTGTTGACTCAGGTGTTGTTGCTTGTGTTTGCAGGACGGCAAGCGCGTTGGTGCGTTCAGCTTCGGGAATGGTACGGGAGTACCAAAAGCCTTTAGGACTGAAGTTCGGGTCAAGATCTGGCGGGTGCATCCAAGGTGCGAGGGCGACTATGCCGTCGCTGTCGGCGGTGCCTTTGTCGGGGACGAAATCAAGGACGAAGACGTCGTCTTGTTGAATTGCGCGACCGATGAAGACCCCCCCTTTTCCGTGGTAAAGACGAATTTCCCGGGCGTAGGAGTCACACTCCAGGTGAACGCCTTTCGACATGAGCTGGCTGACGCTCAATAAGTTGAAGCCGAGGTTGTCGACGACGAGCACTTTGTTTAATTGAAGAATAACGTTCGTTTCATTCGACTGAAGCTCCACGACTCCTTGTTTGTTGGTGCGCAGGTTTTCGTTGTTGGCGACGGTGATGATGACATCTCGCGGAAGACGTCATTCGCGCTGAAGAAACCATGATGAAGAGCACATGTGGTGACCACAACAGCTGTCGAGGAACCATGTGTCGGGTCCGGTGGGTGAGCCATTTGCGATGGCGGCATACGTAGGATTCACATTAAGGGATGACGGTGGTGGTGACGGTCGCTCGTCGGGACTGTAAGTCGGTGGTGAGCTGGTAATGCACGAGTCGATGTTTGACTTTGTTGTTCGTGCCATGGCGACGATTCTTGATGTCTGTGCAGGTCCCGAAGTGGAGGTTGATGGTCGCGTTGAAGTAGTCGTTGAGGCGGTCGCGGGACGTTGTTGAGTTGACGCGATGTGAGGAAGCGCTGGTCGCAGAGGACGAGAGAATGGTGCTGGTTGTCGTTGTTGCTGAGGGCAGTTGAAGCGTGTATGTCCTGATGTCCGACACAGATGACAGTAAGGAGATACGTGTCTTCGATTTTGGTAACGTGGCTGTCATCTGTTGGTGTAAAGAACGACTGGTTGATGATGCCTTTTGTTGTTGCGTTCTTCGAACAGGTCCATTTCCTGCTGCTCGGCGTGAAGTTCGGCGCAGAGATGCATCTCGAAGAGTCGACCGTGAGCGCGAAGAAGTGAACAGGTGGTGCGCCATTGAGGTCCAAGGCCGACGAGAACGACGGTTACAAACGCTTCTTCAGATAAGTTTCCTCCGCAGCGAATGAGTCTGTCGCGTAGTCCTTGACAACGACTGATGTAACGCATGGCCTTTTCTCCAGGTTGCATTTGAACTGTTGTCAGTTGTGCCATGACTCTGCTTTGTGTAACGATGTCCGATGCTTGATGAATGCTTCGCAGATGCTGATAGGCGAGTTCCGCCGAGTTTGCGTAGTTCCGGTAGGCGCGGATGCTTTGCTGCTCGTTCGGCGACAAATTTCGAAGAAGTATGGAGTAGGCCATCAGAGAGTGATAAGTATAGTTTTCCTTGTCTTTGTCTTCGCCGTTGTGTGGATATGGCCAGGTACCGTTGAAGAATCCAAGAAGATTCGTGCCTTCCATCAGGAGTTCAAACTCGAAACTCCAAGAATAGAAGTCTTTCCCGTTGAATGGTGTGGATGTGTGCAGTCGTAGGATGTTGTTGAACTGTGCTTGTACTTGCAGGACTTCTTCGGCGTCTCGTTTGATGGCGGGAAGAGGAGTAGCTGGATGGCAAGGCGGCATAAACGTGAAGGAACCAGGTGAGACTGAATTTGGTGTTTGTTGATTACGTCGTCCGAACGATGAGTTGTCAATACTCATTGGTGCTGCTCCGTTGTTTACGCTGCTGCTGTTTGCAGGTTGTGAGGACTGCTGCTGCGACATGAAGTTGAAGAATTGCTCCATTAAGCTTGGGTCGAAGCTTGTTGGCGGCGCTACTGGTGCTTGAGTAGATCGTTCCGGCGTTAATCCGGGCGTTGTTCCTCCTTCGGTCTGCAGCTCGGAGACCGGGGGTAGAGTAGATCCCGTAGATGACCTTCTTTCTTTGCCACTTGCCATGTCTTGCCTTTCTTGAATAAAGGTTGAACTTCTTGTTTGCTTGCAGATTGGTAGCCTGGGAGAGGCTTAGTGATGAGAGCCTTGTTCTCTGACTGCTCTCATACCATGTTGGGCTGAGAATTTCAGCCTTAGGATCTTTGCAGAGAATAGGCTAGTAGGTGCTAGAGTAGCACAGCGGAAGTCTTGAGTGAATGTACTTGTGCTGGTGTATGAGAACAAGTAATTGATTAAGGCAAAGAGCATACAGGAATATATAGGAAGGATAGATTACAGGAAGCGGTTATGTTTATCGAGACGCGTAACGCTTCGACTATCGAGGCGGTTACTGTTCACTGAAGCGTCGCTTGCTGTTACGTAACCTCCAGGCGGTTACAGCTCGCAACCTCTAGCTGCGGTTTGATGTGGTACGCGCCTTTTCGACTTCATACCCCTTTTGTTGTGCTTCAGTATCGGGTGAGGTTCGATACTACAGAAATGCACTAAGTCATGCGTTTGTATTCCCAACACTCTTATATAAACTCGATGTATGCATGCTATCATCAACTCATTCATTTTACATTCACTCTGACCTGAGATTCAAACTTCCGCTGCAACTACTCCGCGATCAACCCTGAGCGATCCTTCGCTAAGTCCCACTTGGGATTGTAACAGTATCATATACCAACGCCCATTGAACTTCTTAATGGATCAAACAAATCTTCAATATAACATGCACATAAATAGTTTTGTTTTGTTTGTTTCTCAATATATTTGTGTTTTTGCTACCTTGCAAGAGCAGCTCTCATGCTCAATGTATCAAGCACTATAGCGCATGGAACATCTACGATATACACACATGATCGTGGCATTGGGCTAGCATAGCTCGCGCGACTGGTGTTGCTAGCGCAAAATGGCTAGTGCGTGGCGCGGCTGGCTCGGCTCGCTGGCGTGGCTGGTTGGTGCGGATGGTGTCAGAAGTCTAGGCAGGAATGAATGCAGTATGAAAGTGTTGGGTACAAGTATGAAACCCTTAGAGGGGTTGTACCCCATATTGTGTCAAACATTATATATGTTATGCTTGTGTAGGCTACAGTGGGTTAGCCTATAGGGGGTACACAGTTCTAGGGTTTACTACTTGTACTCATTTCACTGCTAGTTCATCCATTCCTGTTCGTTCTTTCTCACATGGTATAGAGCGGGTCCTTCTAAGGACCGTTTTTTTTGGGCCCACCGAAGCGCGCCCCGAGGCGCGTTTTTTTTTTTTTAGCGACCCCTCGGGTCGCCCTCTCCCCTGCGGCCTCGCCGCCTCCACTGACGCGGCCCCGCCGCCCACTCTGTCGCGGCCCCGCCCCGACCCTTACACGGCCCCGTCGCCGGCTCCCACGCGGCCCCGTCGCCGGCTCCCACGCGGCCCCGCCGCCGGCTCCTACGCGGCCCCGCCCCGGCCCTTACGCGGCCCCGTCGCCGGCCCTTACGCGGCCCCGCCGCCGGCTCCTACGCGGCCCCGCCCCGGCCCTTACGCGGCCCCGCCGCCGGCTCCTACGCGGTCCCGCCCCGGCCCTTACGCGGCCCCGTCACCGGCTCTCGCGCGGCCCCGCCACCGGCTCCTACGCGGCCCCGCCCCGGCCCTTACGCGGCCCCGTCGCCGGCTCCCACGCGGCCCCGCCGCCGGCTTTGTCGCGGCCCCGCCCCGGCCCTTCCCCGGCCCCGTCGCCGGCTCCCACGCGGCCCCGCCCCGGCCTCTTTCTCGGCCCTGTCGCCGGCTCTCACGCGGCCCCGCCGCCCGCCTCTGTTGCGGCCCCGCCCCGGCCCGTACGCGGCCCTGTCGCCGGCTCTCACGCGGCCCCGCCGCCGCCTCTGTTGCGGCCCCGCCCCGGCTCCTACGCGGCCCTACCGCCGGCTCTCTCGCGGCCTCGCCGCCGGCCCTGACGCGGCCCCGCCCCGTCTCTCTTGCGGCCCCGCCCCGGCTCTCACGCGGCCCCGCCCCGGCGCTCTTGCGGCCCCGTCCCGGCTCTCACGTGACCCCGCCGCCGGCCCTCTCGCGGCCCCGCCTCGGTTCTCTCACGCGGCTTCGCCGCCCCACCTGCAGCAGTCGGGCAGCAGTGCAGCCGAGCCACCCGGCAGCCGAGCCGCCCTGCGCCCGAGCCGCCCTGTCGCCGAGCCGCCCGGGAACCGAGCCGCCCTGCACCCGAGCCGCCCTCTCGCCGAGCCGCCCGGGAGCCGAGCCGCCCTGCACCCGAGCCGCCCTGCCGCCGAGCCGCCCGGGAGCCGAGCCGCTGTGCACCCGAGCCGCCCGGTCGCCGAGCTGCCTTTCGGTCGAGCTGCACGACCTGCCCTGCCTGGTGAGCACAGTCCCACTGTCACTGCGTGCTCTTCCCCTACAGCTTGCACTGCTTCGCTCTCATCGCCATGGCTACCCCTAGTGTCCTAGCTTTTGACGCTGAGGGTCGCGCCATTGATTTTGAGGTCTGGCTAGACGACCTGCAGCTGTTCTTACAGTGCGACAGAGCTGACGGCCTTTCTCTATTTGACCTCACCTTTGGCGCCTCTCCTGCTCCTGCTGCTGATGCTGATCCCACTGTCCGCTCTCAGTGGGCCACCCGCGATGCTGCTGCACGTCTTGCTGTGCGTCGCCACCTCCCTACCTCTGAGCGCGCGCACTTTAGTCAGAACAAGAGTGCTCAGACCTTGTACGACACTGTAGTTGCGCGCTACTCCTCCCCTGCCACTGCTGCACTGAGCCGTCTCCTGCTTCCCTACCTCTTTCCTGACCTCTCTGCCTTTCCCACTGTCGCTGACCTCATTACGCACCTCCGCACTAGTGACACTCGCTACCGTGCCGCCCTTCCTGCTGAGTTCTGCGCTAAGAACCCCCCCCCCATGTACATCACTCTCTACTACGTAGTCGCGCGCCTCCCTGACTCCCTCCGCGTAGTCAGGGACCACCTTCTCACAGTCTGTCCCACCACCCTCACCGTCGACCTCCTAGAGAAGGCCCTCCTCGCAGCGGAGAAGAGTATAGTCGCTGTAGGTGCCTCTCGTGGTGACCCTCGCACCCCCATCTTTGAGGGGTGCTCTCCTTCCCCCTTGCTGCCCTCTGTTGCCTCTGCTGCTGCTGCCGACCTGCTTGGTCTTGAGTCAGTCGGCGCGGCGTCTGCCCCTAGTGGGAGACGTCGCTCTAGCAAGGGCAAGGGGGGCAAGGGCGCGGGTGGAGGTGGAGGGGGCGGTGGCGGTGGCGGCGGGGGCGGCGGAGGGAGTGGGGGTGGCGGTGGGAGTAGTGGTGGTGGTGGTGGTGGTGGCAGCAGCGGCGGAGACGGTGGTGGTGGTGGCAGCGGTGGTGGAGGTGGCAGCGGCGGAGGTGGAGGCGGCGGAGGTGGAGGCGGTGGAGGCGGTGGAGGCGGCAGCGGAGGAGCCGGAGGTGGTGGAGGGAGCGGAGCTGGTCGGGGTGGTACCCAGCAGCGTAGCGGCGGTGGTGGTGGCCAGCGCTCGCAGCGGCAGCAGCAGCAGCGCTCGTGGGACATCCCTCCGCCCCAGCAGCTTCGTGAGTGGTACGCTGGGCGTCAGAGGGGTGGGGGTACTGGTCCCTGCACCTACGTTCTTCGTTCCGGCGACCGCGCGGGTGAGCAGTGTGGGGGTGCCCACGCCACTCAGCGCTGCTTTGGCCGCCTGACGGACGCTTGGCGTCAGCAGTTCCCCGGGGCTAGTGAGATCCCTCGTTGGGATGAGCTTCTTAGGGCTGGTGTAGCGATCTTTGATCTTGATTTTGATGCTATCCTTGCTGCTATGTATGCTGTGACTTATAGTGAGGAGAATGAGGGTTACCGGTGTTTCCAGCCCGACCCGGGCATTGGTACTGCTGCGCTAGGTGCTTGTGAGGCTGCTGCTCTAGGTGCCAGTGCGTCTGCGCTCTCAGGTACTGGTGAGACTGCGCTTTCAGGTACTGAGTCGCCCTCGTCCTCCCTCACTTTCACACTTGACTCCGGAGCTTCTCGCTCCTTCTTTTGAGACCGCACTACCCTTACGCCTCTTGGCCGGCCGGTTGCGGTCTCCCTTGCTGACCCTTCTGGGGGTCCTGTCCTGTCTCACTTCTCCACTGTCCTCCCGTGTCCGGCTGCCCCTTCGGGCACCCTGTCTGGTCTGTACCTTCCCTCGTTCTCTACGAACTTGGTGAGTGGTGCAGCCCTACAGGATGCGGGGGTTCACTTGTTCACTCCTGCGAGTCAGCGGGTGACCCACTGCACGGACGCACGCACAGGCCGACACCTGGCCACCTTCTCGCGTCGGCCGGGGTCGAGTCTCTACACCCTGACCACTTCGTCTCCTCCTGTCCCTGCGTCCGGTCAGGTAGCTGCGTCAGGTCAGGTGCTTGCTGCTGCGTCCCGGTCAGGTCCTGAGTCTGCCCCCTGTTCTTGTCGCCTCCTGTCTCACGAGACTCTCCTGTGGCACCACCGTCTTGGCCACCCCTCCTTGCCCCGTCTTCGGAGCATGGCTTCCCGTGTCCTTGTCTCTGGTCTTCCCCGGTCTCTCCCTCCTCTCCCCTCCGGGCCAGGACCTTCCTGTGTCCCCTGTGTCGAGGGTCGCCTCCGGGCTACTCCTCACTCCTCCCACTTCCCCCCGACAGAGGCTCCCCTGCAGACGCTTCACATGGATGTGTGGGGCCCAGCCCCCGTCCGTGGGCAGGGTCACGAGCGCTACTTCCTGTTGGTGGTTGACGACTACTCGCGTTACACCACAGTCCTCCCCTTGCGCAGCAAGGGTGCGGTCACTGAGGTGTTGATCGACTGGATCCGCGAGGCTCGTCTCCAGCTGAGGAAGAGCTTCGGCTCGGACTGTCCTGTTCTGCGTCTGCACTCGGACAGAGGCGGAGAGTTCTCCTCTCGCCTTCTGCGAGACTACTGTCGTGCACGGGGGATCCGCCAGACCTTCACGCTTCCGGACTCTCCACAGCAAAATGGGATTGCTGAGCGCCGCATTGGCATGGTCATGGATGTCGCTCGTACGTCCATGATGCATGTGGCTGCCCCCCATTTTCTGTGGCCGTTTGCGGTGAGGTACGCGGCGCATCAGCTCAACCTTCAACCCCGGGTCTCTAGGCCTGCGATGTCCCCAGCCTTGCTGTGGACGGGGAAAGTTGGCGATGCGTCTGCGTTCCGTGTCTGGGGATCTCGGGCGTTTGTCCGCGACTTGTCTGCGGACAAGCTGTCCCCTCGTGCTGCTCCCTGTGTCTTCCTTGGCTTCCCCACTGACGCCCCAGGGTGGCAGTTTTACCTCCCCTCCTCTCGTCGTGTTCTGTCCTCCCAGGACGTCACGTTCGACGAGTCAGTCCCCTTCTACCGTCTCTTCCCCTACCGCACTCCTTCCCTCCCCCCTCCCCCGGACTTCCTTGTGCCGGTTCCCCCCCCGGTAGACCCCCTCCCCCCTCAGGTTCCTGCCCCCTCAGGTGTGTCCCAGGTAGACGCCGTTGACCCGGTCGAGGTTACTGGTGACTCTGGTGCTGCTGCGGGTGCTGAGCCTGGGGGTGCTGACTCTGGGGGTGCTGTGCGCGGGGGTGCTGAGCCTGGGGGTGCTGGGCCTGGGGGTGCTACTGCGGAGGGTGCGGAGCCTGGGGGTGCTGAGCCGGGGGGTGCTGTGCCTGGAGGTGCTGGGTCTGGGGGTGCTGGGTCGGGAGCTGCTGAGCCTGGGGGTGCTGAGCTGGGAGCTGCTGAGCCTGGGGGTGCTGCGTCTGGAGCTGCTGAGCCTGGGGTTTCTCCTGCTGCTGCGCCTCGCCGGGAGCCCCTCTCTCTACAGGAGCTGCGCGAGTGGTTCGCTCGCCGCTGGAGGCGTGCTGCTGAGTCTGGGGGTGCTGCTGGAGCTGGAGCTTCTTCGACCGTCGAGGGTGCTGGTGCTGCCGGTCCCGGAGCTGCTGGGCCTGCGGGTCCTCCTGGAGCTGGAGCTGCTGAGGGTGTTGGTGCTGAGACTACTGCTGTTGGTCCTGCCGCTGGAGGAGTGGGTGGCGCTGGTGCTGTCGCTGAGGGTGCTGGTGCTGTCCCTGCTGCGTTTGGAGCTGCCGCGAGGCCTTGGCCGTACTTCGTTCCGCTCCTGCAGCAGGTTCTTGGTCTTTCTCCTCCAGTAGAGGGTCCACCGCCTGTCCAGTCGCAGTCCCTGCTGGAGCCTTCCTCTCCACTGCCTGCTCCCTCTCCTTACACTGGTCCTACTGGAGGTCTTGCTGAGCGTCGTGAGCCTGCGTCTCGTCCCGCGTCGCCTGTTCGTGCTGCTCGCGCTAGTGGTCGCAGTTCGCGTCAGCGTCCTCCTCCTGTCCCTGGCACGCACCGGATGTCTCTGCGTCCGTCCACTGCTCCTCTGCGTGCCCCTTTGCCTTCTCCTCCTGAGTCCTCTCTTCCTGCGCTTGCCGACCCTGCGTCGGACTCTCTTCGTGCTGCCAGTCCTACTGTCACGCGTCTGCTTGCTACTGTCGTCACTGACCCCTCTTTTGAGTCCACTGCTGCGTTTGCTCTAGTCGCTGAGCTCGTCGACTTTGCTGCTCGCTGTCGTCTCGACTACGCTGCTAGTCTTGTTGCTGAGTCTGCGTCTGTCTGTCCTCCGTCCGTCGGGGGTGAGTGTGCTCTTGGCACGGACGTCCTAGAGGACAGGCAGGAGGAGTTACAGTGTCTAGCGGGTGCTTCACCTCATCTCGCGTCTGTACTGCTTGCCCCTGAGGGAGACCCGGATGCACTAGACATCCCGACTCCGCGCTCTTACGCGGAGGCCGTAGAGGGTCCCTACTCCTCTCAGTGGCAGGCAGCTATGGATGCAGAGATGGCTTCCTGGAAGTCCACAGGCACCTACGTTGACGCGGTTCCCCCTCCTGGGGCGAACATCGTCAGTGGCATGTGGATCTTCAGGGTGAAGCGGCCGCCGGGCTCTCCACCTGTCTTCAAGGCGCGGTACGTTGCTCGTGGCTTCAGTCAGCGGCAGGGAGTTGACTACTTTCAGACCTTCTCTCCCACCCCGAAGATGACCACTCTTCGGGTGCTGCTACACATAGCCGCTCAGCGCGACTACGAGCTTCACTCTCTCGACTTCAGCACTGCGTTCCTGCAGGGTAGCCTGCGCGAGGAGATCTGGCTGCGCCGTCCACCTGGCTTCACTGGGACTTTCCCTCCTGGCACCCAGTGGAGCCTCCGACGGCCAGTCTACGGTCTCCGCCAGGCACCACGTGAGTGGCACGACACACTGAGGACTACGCTTGCGGCTCTTGGGTTTGCTCCTTCTACTGCTGACCCGTCGCTGTTTCTGCGCACCGACACTTCTCTGCCGCCGTTCTACATCCTCGTGTACGTCGACGACTTGGTCTTTGCCACAGCGGACACTGCTGGACTCGCCTACGTGAAGTCCGAGCTTCTGAAGAGACACACGTGCACAGACCTGGGTGAACTGCGCAGCTACCTTGGCTTGCAGATCACTCGGGACAGAGCACGCCGCACCATTACCTTGACTCAGTCACACATGGTGCAGCAGGTCCTTCAGCGCTTCGGCTTCACGTACTCCTCGCCTCAGGCCACTCCTCTGCCTACTCGCCACTCACTCTCAGCTCTGCCTTCGGATGAGTCCGTAGAGTCGAGTGGTCCGTATGCAGAGCTTGTTGGCTGCCTCATGTACCTGATGACCTGCACACGACCTGACCTTGCATACCCTCTGAGCATTCTTGCACGCTATGTTGCTCCTGGTAGACACCGACCAGAGCACATGGCTGCAGCGAAGAGGGTATTGCGCTACCTGTGCAGTACGTCGGGCATGGGGCTAGTGCTTGGAGGGCGGAGTCCAGTGGTCCTTACAGGCCACGCGGACGCTTCTTGGGCTGACGACCAGGCTACGCAGCGGTCGTCGCAGGGTTACACCTTCAGCCTTGGTTCCGGCTCTGTCTCATGGCGGTCTACTCGCTCGTCTTCGGTTCTCGGCTCCAGTTGTGAGGCTGAGATCTACGCCGGGGCCATGGCTGCACAGGAGCTTCGCTGGCTCACCTACCTGCTGACTGACCTTGGAGAGCCGCCTCGTTCTCCTCCAGTGCTGTACGTAGACAACAAGGCCATGCTGGCCTTGTGTCGAGAGCAGCGCTTGGAGCACAGAACGAAGCACATTGCTCTCCGCTACTTCCTTGCTCGTGAGCTGCAGCAGCGTGGTCAGTTGCGACTTGCGTACGTGGCCTCTGAGGCCAACACTGCTGATGTGTTCACCAAGGCACTTGCGCCTTGTGACCATCAGCGCTTTTGCACCCAGCTGGGTCTTGTGCCTGTCTTGCCTCACTTGCTCTCCTCTTGACTTTACTTGTACTGTGATATATATATATATATACCTGCTCTTGCTTGTCTAGTTTTATATATATGTCTGTACTCCTGCATGTGAACTCGCCTCTGGCCCTGCTCTTGTGCTCGGACTGTGTGGTGACTTTGTGATCCACCCTGAGCTTGCTTTGCTTTGCTTGACTGGTCTTGTGACCCCTTGTTCTCCCCCACTTTGCCTATGGGGGTGTGTCAAACATTATATATGTTATGCTTGTGTAGGCTACAGTGGGTTAGCCTATAGGGGGTACACAGTTCTAGGGTTTACTACTTGTACTCATTTCACTGCTAGTTCATCCATTCCTGTTCGTTCTTTCTCACATATTGGCCACCCCACTACAGCCTAAACAGATATAGAATGCATATAATTGACACACCCCCATAGGCAAAGTGGGGGAGAGCAAGGAGTCACAAGAACAATCAAGAGAAGCAAAGCAAGCTCAGGGTGGATCACAACGTCACCACACACACTGAGCACAACCAAAGGGGCCACAAGGCCAGTTCACAAGCAGAGGTATACATGAAACAACAACAACACAGTGATCTCTACCTAGCAGAGCAAACATGCAGGTATATGTATATATATATATATATATATATATATATATATATCACAGTACAAACAAAGTCTACAGCAAGTGAGGAAACGTGGGCACAAGGCCTAACAAAGTACAAAAACGCTGATGATCACCGGACGGAAGTACCTTGGTGAATATATCAGCAGTGTTGGCTCGACTGGCCACGTGAGCAAGACGAAGCTGACCACACTGCTGCAAATCTCGAGCCAGAAAGTAACGCAGAGCGATGTGCTCCGTTCTGTGCTCCAGTCTGTGCTCCTAACACAAGGCAATGGTGGCCTTGTTGTCTACGTACAGAACTGGAGGAGAACGAGGCCTCTCTCCCAAGTCGGTCAGCAGGTAGGTGAGCAAGCGTAACTCCTGTGCAGCCATGGCTATGGCGTATATCTCGGCGGGCGGCGGCAGGGTCGGCGCACGACGGCGGAGATGCAACAGCGGCTGCAGAGTAGGGCCGCGTCAGCTGCAGGGCTGGGGCCACGACAGCGGCAGGGCAGGGCCGCGGCAGCTGCTGCAGGGCGGGGCCGTGTCGGGGGCAGGGCGGGGCCAGGCGGGGCCGCGTCAGCCGCAGGGCAGAGGCCGCGTCGGCGGCAGGGCGAGGCCGTGACAGCGGTAGGGCGGGGCCGCAACAGCGGCAGGGCAGGGCCGTGTCAGCGGCAGAGCGGGGCCGTGATAGCGACCTGGCGAGGCAGCGACCGCGGCAGGGCGGGGCCGCGACCGCGGCAGGGCGGGGCCGCGTCAGCGGCAGGACGGGGCCGCATTAGTGGCAGGGCGGGGCTGCATCGGCTAACAGAGCGCGGCGCGGGCTGCGCGGACAGTGCGCGGGGCAACTGCGGGCCACGTGCGCGCTGCGCAGGCTCGGCGCGGGCTGCGCAGGCTCGGCGCGGGCTGCGCAAGCGGTGCGCAGGGCAGCTGCGGGCCGCGCGCGCGCTGCGCGGGCTCGACACGGGCTGCGCGGGCGGTGCGCAGGGCGCGACGCGACTGCCGAGGCGCGACGCGAGCAGGGAGGGTGACGCGCGGGGCAAAAGGGGCAGCGCGCGGGAATTAGGTCTGCGCGTGCGAAGCAGCAGCATACAGCTCAGACAGCAGACAGCAGGCAGCAAGCAGACAGTGCGCGCAGCACAGTACGTCCTAGGCACAGTCACAGTCATAGTTGTGGGGTAGCGGTAGGTGGGCCAAAAAAAAAAGACGGTCCTACAGACCTACTGCTCTGAATACCATGTCAGAAGTCTAGGCAGGAATGAATGCAGTATGAAAGTGTTGGGTCAAAGTATGAAACCCTAGGAGGGGTTGTACCCCATATTGGCTACCCCACTATAGCCTAAATAGATATAGCATGCATACAATTGACAGATGGCTGGCCTGAGTGATTGGTGCGACCGGTTGACGCATATGGCGTCGCGAGGTGGCGCGCTGGCCAGAGTGGGTGGCTCGCCGACTAGATGGGTGGCGTGATAGGGGTGCGCTGAGGGTGCTCTAAGAGGGGGGGGGCAGGGCTAGGGGCAACCGGGAGAATGTGTTACCAGGGTAGCTAGGGTAGGACAGCACCATGTTTGGGATCGAGAGCCCAGCCTTGCAAAGTGCATAATATTTAGAGTTTTTTGGTACTCATGACCCGGCGGAAGAAAAACTCTCAGAACGAGCATTTTCGACCCCAAAACGCGGAAGGATTCGCACGTGTGCAGAAAGTGCAGCGGGCATTCTCCATTCGAGAGTACCAATGGCCGATCATGCTCGCCACCCTCCCACGCTCTTGCTGGCTTGGTAATAGGTCCAGGCGCATGCAACCGAGTGACGCGGGGGAAGAAAAACGCTCGGAAGGAGCGCTTTCGGCGGCAAAGCGCGGAAGGGTCCGCCCGTGTATAGAACGTGTAGTGGGCGTTCTCCATTCACGAGTACGAATGTCCGATCATGCCCGCCACCCTCCCACGCTCTTGCTGGCTTGGTAATAGGTCCAAGCGCACGCAGCGGCGTGACGCGGCAAGAGAAAAACGCTCGGAACGAGCGCTTTCGGCCGCAAAGCGCGGAAGGGTCCGCACGTGTGCAGAACGTGCAGCGGGCGTTCTCCATTCACGAGTACGAATGCCGGATCATGCCCGCCACCCTCCCACGCTCTTGCTGGCTTGGTAATAGGTCCAAGCGCACGCAGCCGAGTGACGCGGGGGAAGAAAAACGCTCGGAGGGAGTGCTTTCGACCGCAAAGCGTGGAAGGGTCCGCCCGTGTGCAGAACGTGCAGCGGGCGTTCTCCATTCACGAGTATGAATGCCGGATCATGCCTGCCACCCTCCCACGCTCTTGCTGGCTTGGTAATAGGTCCAGGCGCATGCAGCCGAGTGACGCGGCAAGAGAAAAACGCTCGGAACGAGCGCTTTCGGCTACAAAGCGCGGAAGGGTCCGCCAGTGTGCAAAACGTGCAGCGGGCGTTCTCCATTCACGAGTACGAATGCCCGATCATGCCCGCCACCCTCCCACGCTCTTGCTGGCTTGGTAATAGGTCCAAACGCACGTAGCCGCGTGACACGGCGGAAGAAGAACGCTCGGAACGAGCGTTTTCGGCCCCAAACCATGGAAGGATACGCACGTATGCAGAGTGCAGCGAGCATTCTCCATTCGCGAGTACCAACGACCGATCATGCCCACCACCATCCCACACTCTTGCTGGCTTGGTAATAGGCCCAAACGAACATAGCTGCGTGACGCGGCGGGAGAAGAAAGCTCGGAAGGAGCGTTTTCGGCTCCAAACCGCGGAAGGATCCGCACGTGTGCAGAAAGTGCAGGGGGCATCTCTATTCGCGAGTACCAATGACCAATCATGCCCGCCAACCTCTTACGCTCTTGCTGGCTTGGTAATAGGCCCAAACGAACGCAGCCGCGTGACGCGGCGAGAGAAGAACGCTCGGAGCGAGCGTCTTCGGCCCCAAAACGCGGAAGGATCTGCACGTGTGCAGAAAGTGCAGCGGGCATTTTCCATTCGCGAGTACCACTGACCGTGACACGGCGGGAGAAGAACGCTCAGAACGAGCGTCTTCGGCCCCAAAACGCGGAAGGATCCGCACGTGTGCAGAAAGTGCAGCAGGCACTCTCCATCTGCGAGTATCAATGCCCGCCACCCTCCCACGCTCTTGCTGGCTTAGTAATAGGTCCAAACGAACGCAGCCGGGTGACGCGGCGGGAGAATAACGCTCGGAACGAGCGTCTTTGGCCCCAAAATGCGGAAGGTTTCGCACGTGTGTAGAAAGTGCAGCGGGCACTCTCCATTCGCGAGTACCAATGGCCGATCATGCCCGCCACCCTCCCACGCTCTTGCTGGCTTGGTAATAGGTCCATCGAACGCAGTTGCGTGACGCGGCGGGAGAAAAACGCTCGGAACGAGTGTGCTCGGCCCCAAAAAGCGGAAGGATCCGCACGTGTTCAGAAAGTTCAACAGACATTCTCCATTCGCGAGTACCAATGGCCAATCATGCGCGCCAGCCTCCCACGCTCTTGCTGGCTTGATAATAGTTCCAAGCGCACGCAACCACAAGATGCGGCGGAAGAAAAACGCTCGGAACGAGCTGAAGGATCCGCACGTGTGTAGAAAATGCAGCAGACATTCATCATTTGCGAGTACCAATGACCGATCATGTCCGCCACCCTCCCGCGCTCTTGCTGGCTTTGTAATAGGTCCTAACGCATGCAGCTACGTGACGTTGCGAAACAAAACGCTCGGAACGAGCATTTTCGGCCCCAAAACGCGGAAGGTATCCGCATGTGTGCAGAAAGTGCAGCAGACGTTCTCCGTTCGCGAGTACCAATGACCGATCATGCCTGCCTCCCTCCCACGCCCTTGCTGGCTTGGTAATAGGTCCAAACGCATACAGCCACGTGACCCAACGGAATAAAACGCATCCTAGGATGACCTTGGGGTAAGTGAAGCAAGAGTATTGATGCACATTTGCTTCAAGGTAGAGTTGTTGAGAATAGGAGGCTATGTAAAGCCTAGGGTTGAGGCTTAGGAAAGTAGCGAGAGGAAATGCAAGCCAAAAAGGGAGCTTCACTAATGAGAATAGCAAGTACAAATAGGTAAACAACAACACAAGGAGGTGCACCACCAAACATGATGCAATATCTACACTACAACTGCAAACGATTATATAAAATATGTAAACATATTTTGACAAGTGAAGCAAGAGTATTGATGAACATTTGCTTCAAGGTAGAGCTGTTGTTGTGAGAGCAAGGATTCAGGCATATTTGCGATGCTACGAAGACCTCTCTTTGACCTACAGAGACCTCGTTAGGAAGGGCCTCGCTATTCTAACCATCCACTCATTCCACTTGCCGTATTCTCCCGGATAAAACACCCTAGGGTATTATGAAAACCACTGGAAAAAATGGGGGGGTTTTCTCCTCAAAGGAAAATCC